AATTCCATCTCTAGAATGAAACTTTGAAGGACATTGTTTTTGGGTAATTCAATGGGGATGACAACCCCTACCTGTTTCTTTTCAAATAGTTTAGGAGTTAGTTTTTCAAATATGTTAGTGAGGACCACAACGTGGTGACTAGGATGTGGGGTGCTACCATCACAACCCCAACGCTTTTCTTTGGTGGTTCCAAGTTAATAATCACTACCTTTCTTTCTCATTCCCATCAATTATCAGTATCTTCTTTTTCATTCCCATCAATTTCTTGCCCAATGTTCACCAGCCAAAATTTAAAGCATTGTTTTAAAAACCGGTGGTTGGAAGCGGGAACTGTTGATCTAGACTCGGAATCAGTATAGACCGGCTCGGTTCCAACAAGGAAGTAGGAATCAGTCTGCTTGCATTGGACTTCCCAAACTTTATCAAGGCATTGGGCAATTTTGTCAGTGAAATAGGCGATCCAAACCGGGTTGTATTGCCCGGTTTTCACATATTATATTTTTTTATTTTATTTTGTTTTTAAAGTTTGTATTTTTATAGAGTGATTCTTAAAGAATGGGCCTGATGGCGGTTTATTGACACTAATTAGATTTCCGAAAGGCCAATTCACCGATCCAATTCAGTTTTAAAGTATCGTCATCTCTCTCTCACTCAGCGGGCCAAAATTTAAAGTATCGCCATCTCGCTGTCTCTTTGCGTGTGAGAGACCTACATGCATAGTAAATGCATGCAGCCTTATTAACTTCCCCAGTTGTGGCCTCAGCTGATTCTCCATCCTTTGTAATAAATGGCCAACACTCTCTTTTGTCCCTCACATTTCCCTAATGTGACTTTTCCCTTGTCCTCTATCTTCCCTTTCTTCTCTTCATTTGCTTTTCTAACATATCTAACTCTAATGCCGAGACCCTCTCTCTCTCTCTCTCTCTTTCTCTCTCTCTCTCTCAGGGGTTGCAACGGGTCAGGTCGGGACTGGCCACAGACCCGATTAGACCCAGATCAAAAAAATATAGTGTTGGATCCAAATCTGGATTTGGATTTGGATCCAAAATTATAGTATGGGACCCGAATCCAAACCCGACCAAACTCAGACTCGAATAATTTTCAAGTCCAAAATTTAGACCTAAATCTAACCCGTCGAGTTCAATTTTGTAACTCATACCTGAACCCAAATCAGGTCTACCCCTCAAATCCGGCGCCAAGTCCATTGCCACATGGACTCTCTGGTAACCCACGTGTCAACAACTCATTTTCCATGACTCGGTCCTTACTTGCGGATCACAAGTTGGGTTGTCTCTTAGAGGAGAAAGCGATGGGAGTGGAGCTGAAGTAGCTTTTATTTTTTTGGGGGAGAGATGGCCAACCCTCCATTTAAAACCAGTACACACACAACTTTGGAGAATTCTTAAAAAGGCTTAAAAAAACCGGAGGAATGTTTGTTTGGTAGTTGGAAAGTCCATTGAGTTTGTGTATGTTTAATGCAAACGAGTAATAATATTAGGAGAGGTCCCTTTGAATAGAGAGTGGTCCCCTTTTTGGGGGCACATCAATCACATTTCATCATTAGATGGTTCATAGCTCATGTAAATAAAAGCATAGAGATCAAGGGACCATCTTTTTCAATTGGGAAATTTTCGTGACTGCCCTTGCCCCCTTTTCGGTATTACAAACTTCAGGCACTTTTGTCTTCCCAAAATTATACTAGAGTAATTTATTAAGGACACAAAAAAAAAGGGGCAAAAATTACGTAGAAGGTCTATGTCCAAGGATGGCCCCGTTTTTTATTTTTCAGTTTTTTTGTTAGTAGGGCAGTGCCCTAGTGTGAGGGGCAATGCCCAGTCCAGAAGGCAGTCCGAGGTTGGCAACCTCGAACCGCCCTGAAGAGTACCAAAGAAGGTGGTCCGAGAATGGGCAGCTCATACCACTTCCGAATGCTTAGCAAAGTCAGTCTTTGCGGTCCAAGGATGCCAACCTATGCCCACTTTGAACAGCACCACATAAAGTAGTCCGATGAAGCTAACATCAGACCGACCCGGCACTACCCCAACCATTAAGGCACAACCTTATTATCGAAAAAACTCAAAAAGAAATAAAATAAAATACGGCTCGAAGACGATAATTTTGACAAACATAAAAAACCTCAAATTGATCGACCTTCTGCGTAATTTTAACAAAAAACTGACTCATTTTCTACTTTAGTTTTTTTTTTTTGTCCTTACGTAATTCACTCGTTATACTATCCTACTTTTTCTTCTTTTTCTTTTTCCTTTTTATATTAGATAAATTTAAATCCTATTTTTTATTAGAATATAAAAACAATATATATTGGGCGCGGTTTGTGTAAAGTCAAGGCTCTAAACAATCAAAGTAAGGCGCACCTTCAAATAGAGTCGAGAAATGTGGTTTCAATATTGAAAATTGTTGTGATAGTCTTAAAATATATGTCCATCTTTAATTATAAAATTTAAAGCTTTAAAAATAGTGTAGATCGAGTACATCTATGAAAACTTGAAATCTCAAAAATTGACAATCCAAAAATGTATTACAAGATACACTCTTTATAAAACTTGAAATCCATTTTTTTTCATGACTTTTCCAAAAGATCTTTCTAGTTATGGAACTTCTTTTAGAAAAGGAAAACACTTAGGTAAGGTCGCAACCTTAAAATGTAGAATTAAAGATGCACTTTAAAAATCTATCAGAAAATGTTGTTTTAATGTTGAAAAACCCTCTAATTAATTATCTTAGCATCGAGATGTATGAATATGAAAAAAGAAAAAGATTTTGAGTCCCAAAAATAGTGCATCTTGTAATATGTTATTTAGGCTGTCAATTTTTAAGGTTTTCATATATTTATAGATCTACTTGATTTTAACTATTTTTGAAGTTTAAAAATTTATAGTTAGATATGAAAATAGATTTTCAGATAATTTTAAAAAACATTTACACCAAAATTCCATAGTTATGATAAAATTTGAAGGTGTGCCTTAATTGATCAAAGTGCCATATCAAAGGTACGATATTTTATTGTTACGAGGTCAGCTGAGTTGGAGCGTTCAACCTCAAATTGCAACATTGAAAGCCTTCCCATATTATAGTTGGGTTTGAATGGTATTTTCAATTAGATTATCTATTTATCTACATATTGGTTTCATCCGATATTTTAAAATTAGGAATCATTCATCCATAAAATCCATGTCGGGTCGTTAAATCAGTGATCCGAAGCAGATTTGGATTGTTCTGATTTAGTGATTTGGAAAATATTAGTAAATAAAATAAAAATCAGGGTTTATGAGATGGAGATTCAAGAGGACCTAAGAAAATATTATACCAGCTTAAAAAAAAAAGAAAACAAATAATATGACATAATTTAGGGGGAACTAGGTCAGGATCCACACTATTCTAGAATTAGTTCGGTCCAAATCATTGTTAGAAAAACCGAGCCATCTAATCGGTAACCGCCCGGTTAGATTGGAACTAGCCACGTGCCTGTTTTGGTTTCGGGCAGTTTTGGTGATCGCCTGTTATTTTAAAAATAAAAATACAAAAATATATATAAAAAATCTCAAAAATAAGGAATTTGATTTTAATACATTTTTTAATATTTTTTACATTATGATAAATATTAAAAATTATTTTGGTCATTAATACTCACTTTTAAAATCCATTTAATTTTCAACTTCATTTGAATGCGTTTTGTTTTAATCATTATTTAAATACCTTTCATATTTTAGTAGATTTTATTTTTGTATTTTTTTATTTTTTTCAACAATTTTTTACCCGTACGAGACTTGCTTGGTTAGGTTCGTTAAACCGCTTTCGGTCCCATGTCCGGTTAACCGTTCTGGTTCGATTTGCGAACACTGATCCAAATTGATTCCCATCCAAATCAATGAGAAATTGCATGACCCTAAAACATTGGTTTCATCAATACGTGGCTGTGTTTTTCTTATGGGTTTAGATACAATGAGACTATTTATCGTTATTACAATTAGGTCATAATCATTCATACTCATTGGATGTCAAAATGGATGGCTTGAGCTAATCATGAATTTGAAATTTTTTTTTTTTAACTTTAGGCATTTTCAATGACATTCTTACAACAACCTAGTTTGAAATCCAAAAGACAAGAGTGATTATGACCTCCTTATACAAAAAACAGACAGTATCTTTATATACTTTTTTTTTAAGTCCGTTTAGAAATGAGTCACCTTTTAAAAATATATTTTTGAGATGGATTTTTGGACGTAATTTTTAAAGACATGTAATCTCTAACATAGAGATTATGAATATGAAAAAACAAATAAATTAAAAAAATTAGAAATAATATTTCTATTAAAAAAATATTTGGGCGGTTAGTTTCAATTGTTTTTAGATGGACCACCTGTTTGCATCCACATTTAAGATGAACGCTTTATACCTTGGGACCACGTATTTTAAATATGCGGTGTAGCCCACGTGAAACCATTTTTTTTATAAACCTAATTGTACTAGATTATTATCACTTAAAACTTTTTTTCAAATTAATTGGGGTAAGACTACAAGAATCTCAATCTGTTTCTATTAAGAACATTACTCACATTGATGCCAACTTAGCTGCACTAAATAAGCTTTTTTTCAAGAACTTACTCAAAATACCAAAGCAAAGCAAGGACAAAGTTTTTCACAAAAATATCTTAATAAAAATTTATATTTTCTCATGATATTTTTCCAAAAAAAAGAAAAAGAAAATGGCATATTCATTCCCTTTTCCTGTTAAAGAGTTGAAACATCCGCAATTTGTGAAATATCGACGAAATTTCGTGCGAAATAGGCTATAATAACTTAGGCCGCAAGGCCATTTATTCATGGTCCCTCGGTCAGAAGGTCATTTAATACCGCTTTAATATAAACTCGTTTGCAAGTAAGGTTACTCTCGATATTAATGATTAGTGCGAGGGTCAAAATGGGCACATGAAGGACTGGCGTGGCTAACGGAATAAAAAGAAAAGACAGAGGACTGCCCTACGCAGTCGGGTCCCCCACCCCACACTCCTCAGACCACCTCTGCAAACCCTGGATCTTGCCTCTCTCTCTCTAGAAACATTCTCTCTCTAGAAATTTGCTCTCTCTCTCTCTCTATAAATTCTCTCTCTATCTCTATCTCTATTTCTCTTTCACAGTTTCTCTCTCTTGAAATTGCTCCCATGAATTATTTCACTGGAATCCATTAATAGCTTTCTGCAATTTCTCTCTCTAAAAATAGTAGCCCATAAGGAAACGAAGATTTGCAGGTGCTCTTCTCCATAAATATTCATTTATTTTGCTGCACTCTCACTCTTATCTCCACTCGTTCTAAACAATTGAGGTGCAGTCTCTCTCTCCATTTGGTTCTCTTTCTCTCTCTAAACGGTTGAAGGGGAGTAAGTACTGTGGGAGCAGTAATCTCTGATGGAATTTAAGGCGCCTCTTCCTTACTAGTCATGGATCCCGATGCCCTAGAAATAGACGGGAATGGAGGCTTCGGACATGGGTTTTAGGGGAAGGTTCAGAGCTCTATGAACCTAGTTTTTGATTCTCGAAGGAGCGCTGGTTCTTGAAAACCGCTTTTGGTTTGATAAGCTGTTTTTGGGAGTTGTGTTTTTTTGTTTTAGAGTGGTATTTGGTAGCTTTTGGTGGTTTTGAAGACTGAAACTGCGGTTTTGACGAGGGTGAAGACAAGGTTTTGGAGATGAAGTTCATGAAACTGGGCTCAAAGCCTGATTGTTTTCGGGGAGATGGCAATAACACAAGGTACGCTTTTTTTTTTTTAGCTTTGTTCTATGAATTTTCACCTGCTTTGTGATTTTTTCTAAGATTCTTCACTTTTTTTCTTCTTAATTTTATACTGGGATTTGTAGTTTTTGAGCTTATTCGAATGCTTATTTATTGTCTTGAATGTTGAAATTGCACGGTTTTGTATGATTGTTGGAGTTTTTTTTTTTTATATATATATTTATTTTATATAATGGGATGGATGGTTCCTGTGCTTACTGCCTGTGTCTCGAAAGGTTGTGTTTCAAACTTGTTTTTGTAAACCCTTCTATTTGCCCTCGAAGTGTTGATTTAATGACTTGAGTGCTTTCAGTTGCCCCCATTTCTTTGAATTTTTTCCTTAACTTTCAAAATATAATATATCTTTTGTTGTGCTTGTCATTCACGAACTGCACACTCTGCATTTGGTTTGGGAATGTGTGTGTGTGTGTGTGAGAGAGAGAGAGAGAGAGAGAGAGAGAGAGAGAGAGAGAGAGAGAGAGAGAGAGAGAAGAGAGAGAGAGAGAGAGAGAGAGAGAGAGAGAGAGAGAGAGAGAAGAGAGAGTAAGAGAGAGTAGAGAGTAAGAGAGTAAGAAGTAAGTAAGAAGTAAGAAGAAGAGAAGAAGAAGTAAGAAGAAGAAGAAGAAGAAGTAAGAAGAAGA